GATATCCAATGAAAGGTCTTGTCAAAAGGATTAAATATGTGAAGTATGAAAGCACTAGCTCTTACCGTTCAAATGTTATGGCCAAGGTTAAAGTTTTTTCCTAAGTTCGGAAATTTCCAAGATCAAAAGGTCAAAGTTGTCGGTATCCAATGAAAGGTTCTGACACAAAGAATACATTAGTGAAATACAAAAGTCCTAGCATCTATCGTTCAAAAGGTATGGCCAAAGTAAAAGTTTAAATTTTTGTGCATAAGTAGGTCAGGTCAAACTCAAGGTCAAAAGGTTAAAATAAGTGGTACCCAAAGAAAGGTCTTGTCACAAGGAATAAGCATGTGAAATACATATGTAGGAAAGTCATAGCTCCACTGAATAAAAAGTTATGGGCAAGGTTAAAGTTTTTGTGATAGACGGACTGACGAATGAGATTTAATGTCCCCTCGCTTTCACGAAAGCGGGGGACAAAACCTATAATGAATGAAATGACACTTAACCTTTAAAGCACCCAACCCCATCCCCCGAGAGGGGGTATGCTGGAACCATAATACATGTAGGTGATTTGTTTTACATTTAGTATATTTTTAATCTTAGCATTTGACGCAAACTTGAAATGTTTTGAACAAGTTTTGGCTGATGACATGGCTTAAAGAAGAATATCACTGAAAAATTTCCAGACTGAGTTTATTTTAAAAGGTTTCACACATAAAAGATGAAATAGTAAACAAGAGGCCCATGGGCCTTATAGGTCACTTGAGTATCATGTAACAACTTTCCAACAATTGAATTTGATTCGTGATTTAAACCAGAGGCCATGAAATTCACAATTTTGAAAGAAGCACCATTGCTTATCATAACTATACACTTAGCATGTTTGCTTCGGTTACTTAATACCCAGAGGTAGATCAGAGTAACAAAGAGAAAATGCATTTCCACTGTATCAGCTGTGCACCCCATACCACAGGAACCACTGACCCTGGGGCCACATCTTACAAAATATTGAAAATTTTATAAATTTTATTTCATCATGTTGTTGATTAATACCAAAGTGCAGATTTCAAAGCATTAAATTATATTCAGACTATGTACACCCCCCCCCCCAACTGCCTCTAACCCAGGGGCCCAGAAATTAACCATTTTGGATGAAGCAAATTTCTTCGGCATAAATATGTGATAAAATCATTGGCATAATACCCGGGAGCTAAGGAAAAGATTTTCAACGAATTCATGCATTTTCACTATATAAACTTTAAAGCCCCGCCCTAACACAAGAAGCCCCGACCCAGGGGCCCTGATATTCACATATCTCAAAGAAGCATCCTTCCTCCTCATAATTATGTACATAGTTCATTGGTTTAATACCCAGGTGCAGAAAAGAAGATTTTTAAAGAATTTATGCATTTTCACTGTATAATCAATAGAGCCCGACCCTAACACCAGAACCCCCAACCCAGGGGGCATGAAATTCACGATTTTGGAAGAGGCATCCTTATTCAACATAACTATGTACTTGGTTAGTTTATTTAATACTCAGGGGCAGAGAAGAGGATTTTCAAAGAAAAAATTCATTTTTACTATAAATCTATATAACCCCGCCCTAGCACTAGAACCCCTGACCGTGGGGCCATGAAATTCACAATTTAAGAAGAGGCAGCCTTTATCAATATAACTATGCACGTGGTTAGCTCATCTGATACCCAGGAGCAGAGAAGAAGATTTTCAAAGAATTTATGCATTTTAACTATAAAATCTATATAGCCCCGCCCTGCCAATAGAACCCCTGACCCTGGGGCCATGAGATTCACAAATTTGGAAGAGGCAGCCTTATTTAACATAACTATGCACTTGGTTAGTTTATTTAATGCCAACGACAAAGAACAAGAATTTCAAAGAATTTATGCATTTTCACTATATAATCTATATACCCCGCCCTGCCACGAGAACCCCTGACCCTGGGGCCATGAAATTCACAACTTTGGAAGAGGCAGCCTTATTCTACATAACTATGCACTTGGTTAGTTTATTTAATGCCCACGAACAGAGAAGAAGAATATCAAAGAATTTATGCATTTTCACTATATAATCTATTTTCCCCCGCCCTACCACTGGAACCCCCTGACCCTGGGGCCATGAAATTCACAATTTTGGAGGAGGCAGTCATTTTCAACTCAACTCTGCAATTGGTTAGTTTATTTAATGCCCAGGAGCAGAAAAGAAGAATTTCAAAGAAATGATGCATTTTTACTATATAACCTATTTAGCCCCGCCCTAGTACCAGAACCCCTGACCCTGGGGCCATGAAATTCACAAATTTGGTAGAGGACTCAATGCTGATTACAATTATACCAACAGTTTGCAATTGACTGCTTGATATCCAGAAGTAAAGAAGATTACACTAATATTAGTGGTTTTGCCCCTCCCACCCCCAGGCCCCAGGGACCATGAAATTCACAATTTTTGTTCCCCTTTACCCATAGATGCTATATGCCAAAATTGGTTGAAACTGGTTCAGTGGTTTCAGAGAAGAAGCTGAAAATGTTCAAATGTTAACGCACGACGACGGACGAAAACGGATAGCAATATGTCACCTGAGTTTACTCAGGTGACCTAAAAATGAATTTTTTTGGATACCAGCCCCAAATTAAAACAAGATTTTTTGTGAAACATTGATGCCCCCGTATGGCAACAAAGCGAAGATTAAAATTTTCTTCAATGCAAATTTCATAAACTGGTAATGCAAAGTAGGGTATTCTCACTGGAAACACAATTGTGAAATCTGAAAGTTAGCCAAAGTTAAAAATTTTCATAAGTACAGAAATTGTGAAGGTCAAAAGGTAAAGGTAATTCGTATCCAATGAAAGGTCTTGCCACAAAGAATACATATGTAAAGTTTGGAAGCCCTAGACATATCCCTTCAAAAGTTATGGCCAAGGTTAAAAATTTTAAGGTCAAGGTCATAGGATCAAAGTTTTTTATATATCAAATGAAAGGTTTTGTCACAAGGATTAAATTTAAAAAGTATGAAAGCACTAGCCCTAACCATACAAAAGGTATGATCAAGGTTTGATTTTTAAAAGTAAGTCAAACTCCAAGGTCAAGGTCAAAGTTCTTGGTATTCAATAAAGGGTTCAACAGTTGTGGCCAATGTTAAAAAAAATTCATAGGTACGGAGATCTCCAAGGTTAAGGTCAAAAGGTAATTGGTATCCAATGAAAGGTCTTGCCACAAAGAATACATAAGTGAAGTATGGAAGCCCTAGTCCTATCCCTTCAATAGTTATGGCCAAGGTTAAAATTTTAAAAAGTAGGTCAATCTTCAAGGTCCAAAGTCAACAGGTAAAAGTTCTTGATATCAAATGAAAGGTTTTGTCACAAGGATTAAATATGTAAAGTATGAGAGCACTAGCCAAACCCTTAAAAGGTTATGGTCAACGTTTGCTTTTAAAATAGGTCAAACTCCAAGGTCAAGGTTCTTGGAATCTAAATAAGGGTCTTCTCACAAGGATTACATATGTAAAGTATGAAAGCACTTTCCCTTACCGTTCAAAAGTTACGGCCAAGGTTGAGGTTTTTCCACAAGTCCGTAAATCTCCAAGGTTAAGGTCAAAAGGTCAAAGTAATTGTATCCAATGAAAGGTCTTTCTACAAAGAATAAATAAGTGAAGTATGGAAGTCAAACTCCTAGGTCAAGGTCAAAGTTCTTGGTATGCAATGAAGGGTCTTCTCACAAGAATTACATATCTTAAGTATGAAAGCACTATCCCTTACCGTTCAAAAGTTATAGCCAAGGTTAAAGTTTTTTCATAAGTACGTAACTCTCCGAGGTCAAGGTTGTTGGTATCCAATGAAAGATTTTTCCACATAGAATATATATATGAAGTATAAAAGTCTTGATATCTACAGTTCAAAGACATGGCCGAAGTAAAAGTTTGGAATTTTTGTGTAAAAGTGGGTCAAACTCCAAGGTCAAATTTGGTGGTACCCAAAGAAAGGTCTTCAAGAAAGGTGGGACACGATTAAGAAAGTGTATATTGAAGCCGCCGAAAAAACTGTAGGCTACCGAACCAAAAAGTACAAAGAATGCCTAACACCTGGTACATGGGAAAAAATAGGTGAAAGAAAGAACATAAAGCAGAAAATTATCAGTACCAAGTCTGCAAGATTACAAGAACAACTACAAGCTTCCTTTAAAGAAAAGGATAGAAATGTCAAGCCAAGTGCTAGGAGGGATAGACGAATGTATGTTGACAGTCCGACACAAGAAGCTGAACGAGCTGCTTCACATGGAGAAATGAGCACTGTTTACAAAATAACAAAAAAGTTATGTGGTTGCACTACAACCGAACCTGCTCTTGTGAAAGATAAATATGGTCACCCACTGGCAACAGAACATGAACAAGCCAACCGTTGGGTACAATATTTCCAGGAAGTACTAAATTGCCCAGAACCCGATGAACCAGCGAGTCCAGACCCTGCAGTTGAAGACTTAGAAATAAACTTGGAACCACCAACCCTCGAAGAAGTCCAAAACTGTATTAGAGCATTAAAGAATGGTAAATCCCCAGGCAATGACTGCATACATGCTGAAATCAGATATTGCAACATCATCAAAAGCGCCAGGACTCATTGTGAAGCTTCCAAAAAAAGGGAGATCTCCAAATTTGTGACAACTGGAGAGGCATAACACTGCTCTCGGTCCCCAGTAAGGTGTTCTCTAAAATACTGCTATACAGAATAGACAAAGTGATCGAAAAGAAACTGAGAGAGGAACAAGCTGGATTTATTAGGGGAAGAGGGTGTATAGACCAAATTTTTGCCATTCGTAACATTATAGAACAGTGTATTGAATGGCAAATGCCACTGTACATCAATTTCATTGATTTTAAGAAAGCTTTTGACAGTGTGCACAGGGAAACACTTTGGAAAATAGTAAGAGTATACGGAACACCAGCAAAGATCTGCAACATCATGAAAACATTTTATTCAAACTTCGAGTGTAGTGTCATCATGGAAAATGGAATATCGGGTTCCTTCAGTGTAAAATCTGGAGGATGCATACTATCACCAATTCTCTTCCTTATGGTCATTGATTGGATCCAAAGAAACACCACACATGACAAAATGAGGGGTATCCAATGGACAATGTTCAGTCACTTAGAAGACCTGGACTTTGTAGACGATCTGGCAGAAGTATCAGGAAACATCATCCACTTACAAGAAAATACTGATAAATTAAACTCCTTTGCCAAACAAACTGGGCTTAACATCAATGCCAAGAAGACCAAGGTAATGACAATCAATGCACCAGAACCTGTCACATTAAATGGAGAGGCACTTGAGGAAGTTGAGGACTTCACCTACCTTGGCAGTATCCCAAGTAAGGACAACGGCACTGGTAAAGACATAAAATCACGTCTCAGTAAAACACAGATAGCATTTGCCCAACTTCAGCCCATCTGGAAGTCAAACAACTACAGTCTGAGAACAAAACTCCAACTTTACAACAGCAATGTCAAATCAGTTCCCCTGTATGGGTCTGAATGCTGGCGTGTTGTTGACAGCGACATGAGAAGAGTAGAGGCATTCCACAACAACTGTCTTCGAAAAATCAACCGTATCTTCTGGCCAAACAAGATCTCTAACAGAGACCTGCACAAGAAAAGCAAAAGCACGAGTATAACAACAGAAATCAAGCAAAGAAGAATGAGATGGCTGGGACTCGTGATGAGAACGCCCCAGGGCAGGATACCCAAAATAACCTTACATTGGACACCATCTGGAAAGAGGAAGCGAGGTAAACCACGAACAACATGGAGAAGAACCAGAACATCAGAGTTAGAGGAAATGGGCTACTCGTGGGGGCAGGTACAGTATGTGGCAAAGGATAGAAGATGGATACAGCTTGTAGAAGCCTTATGTCCTATCGGGGGCAAAGGGGATAAGTAAGTAAGTAAAGAAAGGTCTTGGCACAAGGAATACACATGTGGAATATAAAGTCATAGCTCCACTAAATCAAAAGTTATGGACAAGGTTCAAGTTTTTGCAGACAAACAGACCAACAGACAGACAGACGGAAGGACACGATAAAAACTATATAACCCCGAACCTTCGTTTACAGGGGCATAAAAAATAAATTTGACTCGCAATAGAGCAAATTCACTCCTGTATAATATTATGTTATTGCATTCCTGTTCATGTTTCACATCAATTCATTTATTTGTTATTACATTTCATATTTTAATCAACATTTCTACAAACTTTCATTGTTTTGATGGAAAGAACATTAATTTTTACTTTTTACTTAGTTTTGGTGAATGACTGCTAGATGCAGACAGCGAGTCAAACACGTGAAAATGGCGTCAGGTGTTTGATTAATCATGTATAAGGAAAGAGCATAGGCGAAAGTTTTTGAAGACCTTTTTTTAATACAAGAAATTTCTGTTGATACTAACATCTACCTTAATTGATGGTGAACACTTTTCAGTCTCCACGAAACCCACCGATTCCCATCTATATCGTATGCCGACTAGCTGTCATCCCCCAAACACATTTAAGGGTGTGCCTAAGGGTCTAGCCACTAGAATCCAGCGCATTTTTCATCACTTGCCAAATATAAGGAACAAAGTGGTCTCCTAAAATTCCACATATGCAAGAGAGACTGCAATGCCCGCATCGTACAAATTGCCATCAATCGGACATGACAGACAAAACCTATGTATAAATTACGCTACAGGGAGAAAGACAACAGCGGCAGGGTCCCTCTGGTAACTACATGTACATTATCATCCCGTCCTTAAGAACCTCAGCGGTATCCTTAAAAAGAACCTGCCCTCAACAAATTTCTTTTACGAACCGTGTTCAGCTTTAAGGTTTTATTTGTTGTTAAACGTCTCTCTCTCGAGACTTTTTCGCTCATATGGAAATTTTCCCCATCACTTGACGTAAGAGGGCTATAAATTTTGACCTATACTCGGCATTTAGGGCCATTGTACAGTGAGGGGCATTTTTCGTGCCAGCACCTACTGCGACAAAAAACCTCGGTTTAATCCAAAGGTCCACGCCCCAAAGTGGTAATCGATTCCATGACGTCAGGATCAACTCCTTACTCCTCTGCTCTAGAGCAGACGCACCAACAACTCGGGCAACCGTTCTTAATGGTAAGATAGATCTTTCGGTACTATGAAGTATTTACAGGCATGTTTCTTTGATTGTATTGCAGTCTTGCGGACCCTAGAACCGAAGTAACCAACTTCTGATTAACATACAAAATTGCAATGTGTTGTGTTTTTCGATTCAGTGTTTGAATTAGTAGTAAATTAATAAATCAAAATTCGAGATCGATGCATTAGTATGTTGACCTAAGTTTGTGTATTACATAATTTACCATGTTTTACCCAAAATGTTCTGCGCATTGAACCCTCTGAGGTTGCAGAACATGAAATATCGACAATAATATAAAGGGCACTGCCCACTTCTTCTGTACACTGCACCTTCTGAGGTTACAGACGAAAAATATCAGAAATAATAAAAAGGGTACTACCCACTTGTCGCAAAATTATGAAAAGAAGAGGAAAAACTACGAGAAGTATTGTTAATTTTAATTACATGTATTTGATTTATATTTCAAAACAATGTCGTGCATCAATAATAATCTTCATAAACATCCTGAGAGTATAGTGAACTTGTATGTATATGTGTACACGAAAAAGATGTATAGTGAATATCAAAAAATTTGACCTACAGGAGAGAATAATTTTTCTAGACAAAGTCAGATTTCAAAAGTAGTGTCCTTGAGTTGTTTTCAATCGTATTTATACCCCACGCAACAAGTTGCGTGAGGTATAATGTTTGACCCGTCGGTCAGTCAGTCCTGTTTTTTTGTCAGCCCAACTCCTCATAAACCGCTGCACAGAATCTGGACAAACTCTGCAGATATTTAGCACACAATTTGTAGATTTGCATATTACTAGGAAATTCCGATTCCTGTATTTTTTTCCGGGAATTTCGGCAATTTTCAGCTTAGATTTTTGGCCATACCTTGAATATAGAGATGAAAAGTTTGTCAGCGCAACTCCTCATAAATTGCGCCACAGAATTTGGTCAAGCACACATTGTGTAGATGTGCATTTTACCAGGAAATTTCGATTCCTTTTTTTTCCAGGAATTTCGGCACTTTTCAACTTAGACTTTTTTGGCCATTCCTTAAATCCAGAGATGAACATTTTGTCAGCGCAACTCCTAACAAGGGCACCGCTAAGCGGAGCATCCCCTCGCGACAGGAACTTCACTGGAAATGGCAATAAATTCTCTCGAGGGACGTTAAACATGTTCAAGATTGATAGTACAATGTATTTTGTTTAATGCCCTTCTCAGGAATTATTTGCTCATATGAAGGCTTGCCGGTCAGAAGAGCTGCACATTCCTAGTATAATTATAGACACTGACAGCCATTGAGCAGTGAGGGCCTTTTTGTGCCAGCATCTATTGGGACATAGGCCCTCGGTTTACATGGTCTCATTCGAAGGATCAGTCTCCACGTCGCACGGTGCATGGGATTCAAACCGGCAACATTAGGATCACCTCCCATACTTTTGACAAAATTATTAGTGGGGTGTTGTTGTTGATCCAAATTTTTTTTAACAAAATGCAGTGCATAGCATCTTTGTTGGGGGGGGGGGGGGGGGGGCACAACAAGGATACCTACTTTGGGGTGATAAAGTTTAATACAACATATTAAAAAGTTTTTGAGCACAATTTATTTTTTTAACAAAATTATCGGGGGTGGGGGTGTCTATTTTTAACAAAAATCAAATTGCATAGAATTTTAGTCGGGTGGGGGCGGGGGGCATAATATGCATACGTAATTGGGCAGTTTCCCTTATACCTAGCAGAAACATATCACGTATGCTACAGTACATGTATAAGTTTCAGTAATTTAAATTATTTACCTACGGTACCTATTAAAGTTCATTATTTTCTCACAGTTCCAGGCAATATGCATTTTTAATAAAAATGTACATCGAGAGGTTAATTGAACTTGTGGATTGCATTTACAGCTTTCAGGAATAACGTTTACCCCAAATTCCCAGACACTTGTTCGAATTGGTAATGAAACTGCAACGTTCATCAAATTCTTTTAATCTGGTTCCCACAGACTCGACACGGCTTTTAAACTGGTTCCCTAACGGAAATGATTATTGTCAACTCGTACATAAAATGTCAAGGTTTCGAGACAGGTACAACGCGATATCTGAAGAAATATACCATCAATGAATTTGAAAATGAATAGGCTTCGTCCTTTTACACTGCCACACAAGTATGTAAACGCCGAGAGTGGTTAATGCAAAGGATCTCTGTCAATCTTGCCCACAAATGATTATTGTCAACTCGTACATAAAATGTCAAGGTTTCGAGGCAGTAAAAACGCGATATCTAAAGAAATATTTCATCAATGAACTTGAAAATGAATAGGCTTCGTCCTTTTATACTGCCACACAAGTATGTAAAGGCTGAGAATGGTTAATGCAAAGGTTCTTTGTCAATCTTGCCCACAAGGTGTAACGAACACACTCACACTAACACACTAACACACACACACATACGCACATTCGCGATGCTATATTCCCTCCGCAACTAGTTGCGCGAGGGGATAATAACCGCTGCACAGTATTTGGTCATACTTTGCAGATAATTATCACACAATGTGTAGTTGTGCATATTTTACCAGGAAATTCTGACTCTTTCACTTTTTGGGGGAATTTCAGCACTTTTCAACTTAGATTAAGGCCATATCTTGAATATAGAGATGAACAGTTTGTCAGCGCAACTCCTCATTAACAACTGCACAGAATATTGTGAAATTTTGCTGACACTTAATATGTAGATGTGCATCAGGAAATTCCGATTCCTTTATTTTTTCCGGGATTTTCGGCACTTTGAGTTTTGGGGGAGCGTGGGGTATGTGAGCTTGCTCACTTTTTTTTTTATTTTGTTTAAAATTTATGAAAGCATCGACTTTTGAGTAAATTTTGACCTAGAATTCCTTCAGGGCAGGCCTTTCCCAAAATTAAAATATTAAAATCTAATAGATTTTGATCTAAGGAATAATTTAGATATTTATTTATATACATCATATTTATGTATGTTTCATATTTGGATAATTACTTTGAAAAGACATAAATGGTAATCTAACCAAGCTCTATGGTAACTGTGATGACTTCAACTTTTCAATCGTCAACTTCCCTTACTTATGTAGTAATATACCCTCATCACTGTATCATTATCAGTTCGTGGGTATGTCATTAAAATGTAGAACCAGTGTTGAGTGATAAATCTTATTTATTCCAGAACGAGACAACATGGTAACACAATAGGTTGTACATAAGATTATTCGTATTTGATTACATCTCCTTTCCTTAGCTGAAATTTATACATTAATCAAATCCATAAAATCAATCAAGTCCTTTCAGTTCAATAAAGTCAATGGTATGGTTTAGAATAATCTAGCACTCATTTCATATATGAAATAAAACAATAATTGACTAGATATTTAAGAAAATTGACTAGCAATTGAACATGGAACACAACCTAAAATTAAGTAAATATATTTATATGTACCAGGTTTCACCTAGTAACACACAGATATGGGATTATTATGCCCTTAGACACAATCTGTGTGACCTAACAAAATCAAACACTTCAGGATCATTCTTGGAGGCGCTTTGGTGTCTTCACAACTCTACCACTCCTGGTTGTAACAATGGATGGATCAGCTTGAGTTAGCTTGGGTTTGTCACGAGTTGTATTTGGTCCGTGAACAGGTTGAATGGGCTTCACATGAGACTTTGGTAAAGGGTCGGGGTTAGCTGTTCTTGGTTTCTCAGGTCCCTTCATGTGTGACGAGCCAGTACTAGTGTTCATGGTGTTTGGATGAGGCTCTGAGGTAATCGGTAATCTTGGCATAGGAGACAACTCTCTAGCAAAAGTTTCTTTGCTTGTCCTCAAATGTCGTCTGTTTCGGCGGTATTCTCGTCCATCTTCTGTCCTGATATTATACGAACGAATATCTACTTGTCCTTGTACAACAGCTTTTTTCCAAGATTTCTCATTTCCTTTCGGTCGTACGCGAACTACATCTCCTTCATGTAACGGTGACAGTTCTTTGGCTCCTTTGTTGTAATAATGCGTTTCTCTTCCCTTTCTATAGCGAAGCTGTTCCTTGACTTTGTCAGCATACCTGGGTTTCAGCATGTTTTCTGAGACAGGTAATAGAGTCTTTGTTCTCCTCCCAAAGATCCTCTGTACAGCAGAATATCCTATATCCTGGCTGGGTGTGTTTCTAAGGTCTAATAATGCTAGGTATGGATCCTTCTGATCAGCAACACTCTTATTTATCAGGCGTTTTATAATCTTCACTGCATTCTCAGCTTTACCGTTGGATTGCGCATAATTTGGTGAAGACGTTACGTGGTTGAATTCATATGTTCTCGAGAATTCAGCAAATTCCTGACAATTAAATGGTGATTCATTGTCTGAGACTAGAGTGTCGGGTATCCCATGTCTTGCTAGGTGAGCTTTCAATTTGCTGATTATGGTACTACCGGTTTTACTATGTAGACGATCAACCTCGAAGTAGTCAGAGTAGTAGTCTACTGTAATCAAGTAGTCTTTGTTCTGGCACTCGAATAAGTCACACGCAATGACTTGCCAAGGTCGAGTTGGAACTCTGTGACTAATCATTGGTTCCTTCACTTGATCATTTGCATACATGTTGCAAGCTTCACATTTACTTATGAACAGTTCAATGTCTTTAGCCATATTTGGCCAGTAAAGGCTTTCTTTAGCTCTTCGTAAGCATCCTTGAATTCCTATGTGAGAATTGTGGATCCTTTCAAGAAGGTGACTGCGTATTTCTCCGGGAACTACAATCCGTTCACCTTTATAAATGAGTCCATTTTGAAAAACAAGTTCCTCACGAAATGGAAAATAAGTCTGAATTTCCGTATGAACTTCTGCCCTCGTCTCAGGCCATCCAGACTTAATCACTCCTTTCAGCATATCCATAGTTTCATCTCTTTCTGTTGCCTTTCTGATTTCCGCAATGCGCTGATCTGACACTGGTAGATACTCCTTATAATCTACATTGTGTACTTCCACAGGGTCCTTTTCTTCTAGGTCCTCTGGCTGAGCTTTAAGATATGCTCTGGATAAAGTATCAGCAAAGTACATTTCAGTACCTCTTTTGTAGAGTACCTCATAGTCAAATTTTTGAAGTCTCAGCAACATTCTTTGTAGTCTCTTTGGTGCACTGTGTAGATTCTTCTTGTGTATTATCTCAAGTGGCTTACGATCAGATTCTACCATAAGTATAATTCTCAAATCTTTCCATTCCGAAGACAACCGCGAGTAGCTCCTTTTCAATTTGAGCGTAATTGCATTCAGTCTCTGTAAGTGATCTTGATGCATACATTATTGGGTGTCCCTCTTGAAGTAGGCAAGCTCCAAGGCCCGATTCAGATGCATCACACTGCAAAACTAGCTACGTATGCTCATCAAAGAATCTCAACACTGGAGTGTTCGACAAAACAGTTTTCACGTCCTTGAATGCTTTACCATGGATATCTTCATCCCATCTGAAATGAGTGTCAGATTTAAGAAGACTTCTTACAGGGACATTGTATTGCCGTCTACTAAGTTGACCTTGAAACCGAAGGTTGATATTTGACTCCCATGGCTGCAGCTTTTGTCAGCAATATCTTTACTCTGCATGGACATCAGTTTTACCTCCAATACACCTCTACAGTTGTAAGAACGCTCGCTTTGTGACTTGAAGACTGGTTTTGAACAAGTCTCGACTGTTATAGATCCATGTCGATAAGAAAATGGTACAACTGATGTTATGAGACTTTTAGACCTGTGTCTCGGCATACTTGATAAACTTTTCTCAGAGCTCAATGGCCTCGAGTGCAAAATAAGTTTGAATTTCGGGCGTAAAACAATATACAATTATCACGTCTGATACGAAAATGCATACACATAAGAATAGAACATTAAGCAAATGTGTCGTTTAGTAAACCAGAGACAATATTTAGACATACTAGGAAGTCAAAGTTCAGGTCAGTTTACATTTACATTAACATTAACGGTAGTCACAAAGAAACAAAGGTTGAAAAAGTCAAAAGTGAAAGCCAAAACAGTAAACCTTATAGAACTCGTAATAATCACAGAGAAAATTTATTTTGCAGAGTGTTTGTTTGTATGATGTTTAACGTCCTTGTCGAGAATTTTTCATTCATATTGAGACGCCACCACTTGTCGGTGGAGAGCTGCAAATTTCCTCCTATACTCGGCACTCAGGGCCATTGAGCAGGGAGGGATTTTTTTTTTCGTGCCAGCACCTACTGCGACACGGGACCTCTATTTATACGGTCTCATCCGAAGGACCGGTCTCTCACAGTGCAATTCAATCCCGAGACGTAAAAATATAAACATCAACTCCTTACTTCGCGACTCTAGAGCAGACGCCGTAACCACTGCGGCATGTGGGCGACTATTTTGCAGAATGTATGAAAGTGGCTAAAGGACTACGTGTGATCTTGTGAGCAGGCTGAAATCAAGAAGGTTGTAATTTACAAGACACGTGGATACTATAAAGAACGTTAGATGAAAAAAAATCGAGATAGACAAGACTATGATGGTGGATTAATCTTCGATGAAGTCTGGATGTACATGTATATAGCATGAGGATCCTGGAGAGCTGATTGCAAATGCAAAATGAAAAATAGCGAAAGTCAGAACACAGACCGAGCTGAAATTGGAGGCAGCCCAAGAGAACGAGGTGTAAAAAACCCAATACGTTAAATCTGTTAAGAGTAAAAGTACAAAGAAGATGACGTATATAGTAGAGTTATAGAAAGAAGACATTAATTTTTAGCTCTAATGGTCAGAGACCAGAAGAGCTTGTGCGATTGTAAGGTGTCCGTCCGTCTGTAAACAAGTTTTCAAAATGCTACTTCTACAGTTTTGGTCTGATTTCAATATAACTTGGCACACAAGCAGACTACACTAAGATACATAAATTGGTGCATCGGATTTTGATTTTGATGAATGGTGTTGCCATGGTTACCAAAAATAGAAATTTCTGTAAAATTCCTTTAGAATGCTACTCCTCCTACAGTTTTCAACTGATTTCAATATAACTTGGCACACAGGTAAACTACACTAAGATACATAAATAAGTGCATCGGTTTTGGTTTCGATGAACCGTATTGCCATGGTTATTAAAATTACAATTTTTGGGGAAACATCTTTAAAACGCTACTCTCCCTACAATTTGGTCTGATTTTAATATAACTTGGTATACAAGTAGACTACACCAAGATACATTAATTAGTGTAAATCATAAATAAATATCCAGGCTCCAAAGTCACCATCTTGGAAATACCACCATATTCAATCAAAGTCTGGAATACAGCTTAAGGACACCCGAACCCTGAAATCTTTGAAGATGAAGACAAGGACCTAGCCGAGCAAGTTTCAAAACTAAACAACAAAAAAGGGAAATCAATGATAATCTGAAAATCCACTCACCATCATTTGCTGCAGATCTTCATAAAACATCCAAAACAAAATCAAGAAAACACAAAACATCAAAACTTAGGAAATTCACTAACTTTTCCCTTATGGCTGACGGAATACATCCAGGATCTTTAATTGTTATAGCCTGGCTGAAAGAGATAATTGAACAATCAAAAAGAAACTGCTGGGAGGAAACTGAGACCAAGAGATACAAAACCCAAGCCTAATATTTGTGCAGGACAAGAGGTCCGGGTAGTCATACTTAATCAGTGTTATACTGTATGGTCAGTGTGGAACTCCGCGCTATACCACTATGAATACCTTGATCTTGATAACCCTTGCACTAATATTGGGTTTTACAAACTGGTCTGAACACTCGTCATGGAAACAGCAACATCTTCTGATTTCAACATCAAACGATCACTACTAGTAGAAAACCAGTAAGTCTTCCAATACATAAGAGCACCTATAAAAATTTATTCATAATCGCCATCCTCATAGCAGGCGATATAGAACTCAACCCGGGACCAAGAAATGCAGAGAAGTCAATTTATCCATGCAGAATGTGTGAACAACCTGCTAATTGGGGAAGTAAAGGGGTATGTTGTGATGGACTCACGACTATGAGTTACTTGAAAGATCTGGACAACGAACAGTGGCATTTCTGTAAATGTGAAAGCATAAACGTGACGACCTTCACATTTGGTAGCTATGAAATCAGCTTTTCCAACCTTTATGAACCACTATGAAATATTGACGTCAGAATGGATTCAACACACACAGACATATTCAGTCCACTAAGAACTAGCAGACCAAAGTTAAACCAGAAGTCTCTGTCGAGACTGTAGCTCTACTGGTTTGAACTTATAACAAAGGATGAGAAAAGAAGCCATTAGACCAAAACTGTAGAAGGAGTAGCATTTTAAAGGAATTTCACAGACATTTCTATTTTTAGTAACAATGGCAACACCTTTCATCGAAATTAAAAACCGATGCACTATTTTATGTACATTATATCTTGGTGTAGTCTACTTGTGTGCCAAGTAATATTGAAATCAGATGAAAACTGTAGGAGGAGTAGCATTTTACAGAATTTTCACAGAAAATTCTATTTTTAGTAACCATGGCAACACCGTTCTTCGAAATCAAAAACCGATGCACTATTTTATGTATCTTAGTGTAGTCTACTTGTGTGCCAAGTAATATTGAAATCAGATCAAAACTGAAGAATGAGTAGCGTTTTAAAGGAATTTCACAGAAAATTCTATTTTTAGTAACCATGGCAACACCGTTCTTCAAAATCAAAAACCGATGCACTATTTTATGTATCTTAGTGTAGTCTATTTGTGTGCCAAGTTACATTGAAATCAGATCAAAACTATAGGAGGAGTAGCATTTTAAAGGAGTTTCACAGAAAATTCTATTTTTAGTAACCATGGCAACACCGTTCATCGAAATCAAAAACCGATGCACTATTTTATGTATCTTAGTGTAGTCTACTTGTGTGCCAAGTTATATTGAAATCAGACCAAAACTGTAGGAGGAGTAGCGTTTTGAAAAATTGTTTACAGACAGACAGACAGACGGACGGACGACGGACATCTTACTATCGCATAAGCTCTTCTGGTCTCTGACCAGTAGAGCTAAAAATGAAAACTGAAAACATCAAAATAGTAAACCAAGTATCAGAGGGAGCTCTAAAACATCAATTACATCGTCGGACGAGAACCCATTTTCAACAACAAAGAAGCAAAACCTAAGAATAATGACAGTTAATTCCTGCAGCATTAGAGACAAGAACCAAGAACTTACAGCTGCAATTGAATATCTGAAGCCAGACGTAGTATGTGGAACAGAGTTTTGGCTCAAAGGTATAAAACCAGGGAAAAATCCGTCACCCGATGCCATCAAGTCAAGTGAAATTTTTCCATCCAACTTCAATGTTTACAGAAATGACAGGGGAACACTAGACGGAGGTGTCTTCATACTAGTGAACAAAAATTTGATATCAGAAGAACAACCAAATCTTATTACGGACTGCGAAATAGAATGGGTGAAAATAAAGTCAAATAAAAACAAAGACATACTCATTTCATCCTTCTACATGCCACAAGAAAATCAAGTGGAAAAGTCTCTAGAGAAAGCAACAAAAACAAAAATGAAAAGCACCATACTACGAGTAGTAGATTTTAATTGCCCAGACATTGATTGGAACAACTTGTCAGCGAAACCTGGCAACGAAAGAGACATCCCACAACTCATAGACACTACAAGCTTTTCTGGCCTTTTCCTGGCCTTACACAAGTACATGACCAACTGACTAGAGAAGATAACATCCTAGACCTAGTATTTACAACGTACAAAGCCTTCCCTTGTAAAATCATCTGTCAGTGTACCCGAGATATCAGATCACAATATAATAATCACAGATTTCGAAATAAAACCATACTACCAGAAAACAAAAGCACGGGAGGTATATATCTACGCAAAGGCAATTTGGGGAAAATTAAACCAATCTTTTGTCATCCTCTCAGAGAAAGTCCTAAATGTAAGATCTCAAGGCGAAAAGATCCACAAGCTCTGTAACACTTTCAAAAGCACCATCCTTAAAAACATGGATGAATTTATACCATCAAAGGAAATAAAATCTAAACACTCTGTTCCATGGCTGACATAAAAGAAAGAAAGCTACTACAAGAAAAAAGCAAGGCTATACAAACAAGCTAGGAAAACAAAGAAGTGGTTAAATAACAAAAGTTTCCAGAAAGAGTGCAAATCAAGACTAC